AGTCCGATTATGAATCACACTTCTTCATCAGGCAGATTCACAATAATCCAGCCTCTTTCTTTTCATATTCAAACAACTTTACATAAAAGAAAACTCAGAATCCCTTCACCTTAAAGCACCAGTCATTTCTCTCTCAGACTGATAGATCATTTCAGTCTCTCACTGAAGAGACCACTTTTTCACCAAGCACATTCACAGTAGAAGTCTGCTTTAGATTCTGCTTTTAAAGCTTGGTTTATAACTCTACAGTCCTCCCTACAATAATTTTAGTGACTTTTAATGACTGCAGATTAGTCTGTAATGTGGTTATATAATCACTTACTTAATCAGACCCAGATTTTGAACACTTAGATTGTTTCCTTGATTTTACTCCTTGCTTCTTTATTCGTTTAACAAAGTAAATTACCTTGTTTGCTTGAATACAGATAAAATAAACCTGAAAGAGAAAAAAAAAATTTCCCTGGAGTAGGAGGAATGTTGGGATGGTCCAGGCCAGGGAAGAAGACTTTTCACCCTTTTAAATTCTGAATCATGTGGATATCCTAGCTATAAAAAATATACCAAAAGTGTCCTGTCTATAATGCATTGCCCTAAAGTTGGCTATAGACTTAATTCCCTGTTATGTGCTCTCCCCAAAATATAGATAATGTACCTTGAGAACCTAGAGGAGAGAGCAGAGTCTCAGGGAGTGACATTTTCACTGAGTCTTGAAGGAGGGATTGGAGTCAGTCAGGCTAAGAGACTGCCTTGGGCAAAGGCCCAGAAGAGGAAAGGACATTTCCTAGTTGGGTATAGAGACTGTATCTGATGTGGTATGAAATTTAGTGGAAATGAGACTTTTGTGTGTGCTGGGGCCCCAAAGAAAATGGCATGTTTCCCACTCCTGAACCTGTTGGAGTCCATTGCCAATCCCATTCCCACAGCTAAATACTGGTACCATGAAATAGCTCCCAGTGGGTAGGCCTTGCACAGGCTGAGAGGCTTCTCAGACATTATCACTAATCCTTGCAGCAAACAAATATGATAGATTCTTTTACAAGACAAGGAAACCAAACTTCTTTAATTGAGCTGAAATTACAATACCTAGACCTCCAAGGTCACACAGCTTTCTCTTCCATCTCCTTTGTAATTCTCTAATGACCTCCATCCTTATACAGATGATGTGTACACTTCTTTCTTTATCTTCCTATGCCCATGACCCAAAACACACACAATTGTAAACCTAGTACAATACCAGACTTCTGGTGCATAGGGCCTCAATAAAAATGTGTTGAATGGAGAGATTATGTATGGACCTTCTATAGTACTTGGCCTGGTTCCTGGCATTAAATAGATTCTCCTTTAACTTTATTTGTTGGGGGGCAGTACTGGGGATTGAACTCAGTGGCACTCAACCACTGAGTCACATCCCCAGCCCTATTTTGTATTTTATTTAGAGATAGGGTCTCGCTGAATTGCTTAGCACCTTGCCGTTGCTGAGGCTGGATTTGATCTCGCAATCCTTCTGCCTCAGCCTCCTGAGTTGCTGGGATTACAGGCGTATTCCACCACACCTAGCTAACTTTTTCAATTGAGCTGAAATTATAATATCTAGACCAATAAGGGTATGACAGAGGGAACAGATTGGAAGAAAACAAATTATGGCACAACCTCAGCTAATCAATGTTTTCTGGAAATGAATCATTCAGAAGGCTGACCTTGAATCCAGGAAGAAGAATCCTGGGGCTTCTCTATTCAGTGCTACCCTTACTTCTCCCAGGCATTTTGAGCTCCCTGATCCTTTAGTCTTCTTTTCCTTCTACTTTCTTCCTTTCTTGTTTTTGTTTGGCTGTTGCTCCTTCAAAATTTCTTTGTGGTCCACCTTATCCCAAGTTGCAATTCCTTCCAGTTGGCCAAATCATTGCCATCTTTCTTGGACTGTCCTTCTGAGGCCTTCTGCCTAGACCTTTTCACCCCACTGCAGCATCGTCTCTTCCACAGGGTCTTCCCTGATTACCCTGGAGCTGGAGGGTGCTTCTTTCTTCTTCCCACTCCACAGCACCCTGAGCAGGTGTCTCTCTTCCATCTACTTCCCACACTAGTATGTGGGTTTCTTTTTTTTTTTTTTTTTTTTTTTTTTTTTTTTTTGGTACGGGGATTGAATCCAGGGGTGCTCTACTACTGAGCTACATCCCCAGCCCTTTTTATTATTTTTAAAATTTTGAGACAGGATCTTGCTAAGTTGCCAAGGCTGGCCTAGAAATTTTGATCCTCCTGCCTCAGCCTCCTGAGTCCGGAATTATAGGTGTGTGCCACCACACCTGGCTGAATTGTGGGTTTCTTCGAGATGCAAATCATGTCATCCTCAAATAGTTGCAAATGAAATTGACAGATCTTTGTGCTTCATGGCCACCTTTCCTTCATTTCTGCTTACTTTGCCAAGTTTTGGTTGGTTGGTAGAAATGAAATTGGAAAATCCTGAGTGCTAGAGGTTTAGGGTTTCTCTGTGGTTCTGCTTCTCTTCTTCCTGCTCTATTTTCCCTGCTGCTTATGTTACACTTGTCCATCAGACTTAAGAGTACTCCAGCTCAGCCAGCATGTTTGGGGCACCAGGAGTTCTGATCTCCCTTATCAGTTCCACAAGAAATTATTTGAGCATCTTCTCTGCACCAGGCCCTGAGCCCAATATTAGGAAAATAGACAGAAAACAGTCTGGCCCTGCCCTGCCTCTGGCTCCAAGTGTGACCTTGAGCCCTTTCTAGATCTCCCCCATTTGCCTCCCTGAAAGTGGAGGGGAAGGGAGACCTGTTCTGTAAGGAGTTTGGAGCTCTTGACATCGTAGGTCTGTCCTGGGTATTCCAGGCTCTTCCATATCTGCTTTCTCCTAGAAGACCCAGGCCTTCCTCTCTTACCTCTTTCCTATCTCCCTTGAAAATTCTGAGCAGACATATCCCAACACATCTCCCTCTCTATGCAACACTAAGAAGCAGCTTGAGAACCCCAGCTAGCCCAGGAGGGAGAAAAGAAAGAAGAGGAAGAGAGGAAGCCATGGCATGTGAGGTGGCCTTCTAAGGTACATGGGGGAATGGAACACCCTGCCATACCAAAAAGTTCTCTAAGCTCAATTTTGATGAGTCATGTTAATCATTCTAATCAGGGAGGCCAAACCAGAGTGGGAGATGACAAGATAGAACTGTGATTATTTTTCCTGGAAAGGGATAAGGCATCAATGTCCCTTGCACTCAAAGAACACTTGATATTACTTTTCTATTTGATTTTCTCAGTAACCCTTTCAGTTATATTTAACATTTTTTTAGTTCTGTCTTTATTTAATGCCTTAGGCTGGGAACACTGGCCTCTTCTGTAGGACACATCACAAACTCCAGTGTGTAGACATTTTGTTGTGATTTTTGCTTTGTTTTGTTCTTGATATTAGAGATGGAACTCAAGGGCTCTCTACCACTGAGCTACATCCACAGTCCCTTTCATTTTTTGGTTTTAATGTCTGTCTCCTCCACTAGGCTGTAAGTTCAATAAAGGCAGGAACCGTGTCTGTTTTCATCCCCCATTTAATCCTCAATATGTAACAGTGCCTTGCAAACAGTAGTCACTCAATAGATAGTGACCAAAAAAAAAAAAGTAAATCCAAAGGTCTGGGATCTGGGAGCCATCTTTGATTTTCCAAAGTCTTGTGTACTGAATAAAGTCTTTTAACCTGAAACACAGTAGTTTTTCATTAGCCATGAATTAAATTAAATGAACAATAATAACAGGAAACACTTATATAGTGCCTCCTGTGTACCATGCTCTGTGCTAAGCACTTTACATTCATTCACTCATTTAATCCTTAGTAAAACCCTGTTAAGTAAATATTGTCATTATCCCCATTTTATAGATGGGGGAAATCAAGGCATAGGGGTTCACCAACTTGTAAGTGACAGAGCTGAGATTTGAACTCTAGCTATCTGGCTCTAAACTCCATGATCCTAACCACTATGTTGCCTTTCAACAGCAAATGCTCACAGGGAGCATTAGAGAGAGAGAGAGCAATTTCCAAAGGGAATTTTCACAGGTGCAGCTAGGCCTGGAAGCTAGTCTGCTCTCTGTGCAATGCTCCTCCCACTCTGCCACACTGGATCTGGCTGCTGATATATAGCCTCTGGGAATGGAGGCACAAAAAGAGATCTGAGAAGTCTAGTTATTTGTGCAGAAAAACAGTCTTAGGTACACTAGGAAGCTCTCAGCAGAAGAACCATAGCAGCCACTAGGGCAGAAACAAATATGACTACCGGGTCCCTTGTCTTTTAAAAAAAATTACTTATTTTTGCAGTACTAGGGATTGAAGCCAGGGGCACTGTACCACTGACCTACATCTCAAGCACTTTTCAAATTGGGTCCCTTGTCTTTTAAAAAAAAATTACTTATTTTTGCAGTACTAGGGATTGAAGCCAGGGGCACTGTACCACTGACCTACATCTCAAGCACTTTTCAAATTTGGAGACAGGGTTTTGCTAAGTGGTCGAGGGTCTCACCAACTTGCTAAGGCTGGCTTTTAACTTGCAATACTTTTGACTCAGCCTCACAAGTTACTGATATTATTGGCATGCACCACCATGCCCAACTACCAGGTCCCTTTCTTGGAGCAGGGACAGATGGTGGGCTTCTTTTCAGAAGTCCCTGATTGAGGCCTAATCTGGTCTTTGTGCACTCATTTATCACACTGTGACCTCACCACAGATAAAGCCATCCAAGGCCATTTCTGCCACATTTAAATTGGGCATACAAGGAGAAAGGAAACCTATTGGAGAGATGAGATAGTCTGACCTGCAACCAGACGTGTGTAGGAAGTTGGGGTGGGGCCTCAAATAAGTAGTGAACTAGAGGAAAGGTGTGGTCAAGGCTGACAAAACTCCTGCAGTTAAGTGATAAGAGATTATAGCAAAGCATCTATAATCAACTCAGCTTAAGAAGTTCAGAGCTTCTGGTTGGGCTTCTTGCCACAACAGAACAGCACCGTGACCATGACCTTTTTCTCCAGGCAAAATCTTCAGGAGGGTCTCCGAACCCTCTCTGTTATGCAGTGGATTCCAATCTATTTAATTTTAGGTGAGTGAATTCCAAGGGCTGGGAAGCACATGGGAGCACATCAAGAGGCCAGACACCCCCAGATGAGGAGGGTTCTGATGTGATCATCTGATTGTTCCCCCCTATCATGGGGGGAAGGACTGGGCTGGTGGCACAAAGGCCAAGAGTGAGGCTGTGGCTTTTCTTGTTTAAAGAGTATTTCAGCCTTCTCAGGAGCTGTCCCCTGTTAAGCAGGCTGAAAAGAATCACATTTGGGCATAGGGCAGAGGTGGTGGTGGCTTGCAAAGCTGGTGTTACTAGGAAGACATGAGGTGATTTTCTAGTATGAGACTGGAGAGAGAGAATTGTGAAAAACCCACGGCTACCTTAGTGACACATTGAACAGAATTTTGAGAAAGGACCAATTTTTTGGTGGACTGAGGGCACAACAGTCATCAATGCGGAACGGATGGGCTGACAGACACAAGCTCTGGCCAGCTAGAAACCAGGGCTTTGTGGGATATCAATTATAGGGCCAAGCCTGGAAACAGGATGAGAAAAACTAATGTCATTCTGAAGGATAAACAGGTAGAAAACAGCTGGCTCCAATCCATGGGAGGCTATATGACCCCTTAGAACAGAGGATCTTAACCAGGGGTCTGCAGACCAAGAATTTGAGGGTAATTACAGGACTTTGAATTTGGCTTGAAAGAAATACACTTTTCCTTTCACTAAGCTCTAGTGGAAATGGAGCATATCCCTTGATGATGAATGTAGGCAATAAACCCCAGAAGTGTCAGCAGCCCCTGTGACTTTGTAAACAGCAGACACCACAGAGATTTGCATTTCATATTAAAGTTGTTACAGGCATCTTGAAATTTCATTTATGCCCATGACTGCTTCAAAATTCCAGTAGTTATTAGAAAGACTGATAGATCTGGTTATTTATGCATAAACCAAGAAATCCATATTGGTTACTAATATCACGTTTTGAAGGAATATTGTGATAACTGTATTTTAATATAATGGGCTTCTTTTGTATGTGTGTGAACCTTATTTTGTGCATTTAAAATTTTTTTTTAGTTGTGGATAGACACAATACCTTTATTTATTTATTTATTTAAATATTTATTTTTTAGTGTAGTTGGACACAATAGCTTTATTTTATTTATTTATTTTTATGTGGTGCTGAGGATCGAACCCAGGGCCTCACATGTGTTAGGCAAGCACTCTGCCACTGAGCCATAACCCCAGCCCTATTTTGTGCATTTAAAAATATTTTTCAGAGAAGGAGTCCATAAGCATCACCAGGTTTCCAGGGAGGTCCATGGCACCCCCCAAAAATAAAGATTTATTATACCTTATTAAAAAGGAAATTCTCTACTTGGGAGGCTAAAGCAAGAGGATAAAAAGTTTGAGGCTAGCCTTGGCAACTTAGGGAGATGCTAATTCAAAATAAAATATAAAAAGGGCTGGGGATGTAACTTGGTGGTAGACGCACCCTTGGATTCAATTGCCAGTGCCACAAAAATAAAATAGATGATAGATGATAGATAGAGAGATAGACAGTAAAATGGAATCATGCCTGAACTCATCAATGGTTTGACTCTAGCTGTAAAAAGAAAAGAAAGTTAATTTTTGTAAACTTATTTGTTTATAGTTTTTCAGTTTCTTTTTGTTTTCCTTTGCATTCTGCCTTAACTTCCTCAAAGAGACCCCTTTGCTAAGTTCCAGTCCTCAGCTAGAAAGGTGAGCTGCAAGGGAATTTCCTAAGAGACTTGGTATAGCACTAGCAGCCATCATTTCAAGTCTGGAACCCCAAAAGAGTGAGCAAATAGAGGCGAGAGAGCAAGGGAAAGAGGTCAGGAGAGGAAGAGCTGAGGGCTGGGGGCGTGGCTCAGTGGCAGAGCACCTGCCTGACTTGCCCTAGGTTCAACCCCCAGCACCTCAAAATAAAATAAAAGTTAAAAATAGGAGAGAGGAGGAGCTGTGGATCCTTTTAGGCTCATGGTCTCTTCTACACAGGAAGGCCTTGGTATAATACTTGAACACAAATGCCCAGATTATCTTGGTCTTCTGAGGTGGCTCTCCTTATTAAAACGGTCTTATTTTTCTCCCAGAAAAATCACTACTTCCTGAAGTACTTTTTCTTATATTCCTTTTCCCCTTTCAAAGGACACTGTCTCTGGGCAGGGAAAGAACTGAGGGACTATCAGGCAACTGAATAGGTAAGGGACCAAGAAGGTGAGGGTTAGCCTTCTGCATGCTAAATCTCTCCAGCTTCCAGTGGTCCTGGAAGAGCTGGAGGACCGGAGTGGGCATGTTAGGGACACATGATGGCATGGTTGTGTCATCAGTGAAATCACATAATAATAAATGTGAATGTTGTCTTTTGCCTACATTTTAAAGGTTATTTTTTATTGTGATAAAATACACAGAACAGCAAATTTATCATTTTAACCATTTTAAAGTTTACAGTTCAGTAATGTTCAGTACATTCACCATCAATCATCTCCTGAATTTTTCATTTTCTCAAACTGAAAATCTGCGTGTGTTAAACACTAACAACCCAATTTCCTCTCCTTCCACTACTTGCAACTACCGTTCTCCTTTCTGTATATGAATTTGCCCATTCTAGGTACCACATGTAAGTGGAATCATACAGTATTCATCTTTTAGACTGACTTACTTCACTTAGCATAATGTTATTAATATTCATCCATATGGTAGCATATGTCAGAATTTCCTTTTAAAAAAAAATAAGGGGCTAGGGTTGTGACTCAGTGGTAAATCGCTTGCCTTGCACATGTGAGGCACTGGGTTCAAACCTCAGCACCACTTAAAATGAATAGACAAAGTAAAGATAATGTGTCCATGTGTAGCTAAAAAATATTTTAAAAAATTTAAGACAGGTTCTTGCTATGTTGCTAAGGTTGGCCTCAAATTCAAGATCCTCCTGCCTTAGCCTCCCAAGTAGAGAATTTCCTTCCTTTATAAAGCTAAATAATATTACCTTATATGCATACACTAAATATTGTCTATGCATTCATCCATTGATAGATACTTCTGCCTCTTGGCTACTTTAAAGAATGCTGCTGTCAACATGACTGCTTAAACTGAGTGGGATGGCACATGCCTGTAATCCCAGCAACTCAGGAGGCTGAGGCAGGAGGATTGCAAGTTCAAGGCCAGGCTCAGCAACTTAGTGAGATCCTAAGCAACTTAGTAAGATTCTGTCTCAAAATAAAAAATAAATAAAAAGGGTTGGGGATGTAGATCAGTGGTGAAATGTCCCTGGGTTCAATTTCTAGTATTGAATGGGAAAAAAAAAAAACATAGGTACATAAAAATCTCCTGAAGACTCTGCTTTTCTGCTTTCAATTTTAATTCTCCACATCCTCAGCAGCACTTTTTTTTGGTGCTGGAGATTGAACCCAAGAGCACTTTACCACTGAGTTATATCCCCAGCCCTTTATGTTTTTTGAGACAGGGATCTCACTAAGTTGCTTAGGGTCTCATTAAGTTGCCAAGGCTGGCCTTGAAATTGTGATCCTCCTGCTTTAGCCTCCAAGACACTTGGATTACAGGTACATATCACCACAAGCAGCTATAACCATGCTAATGGGTATGAAATGATATTTGTGTTTTTTAAAATAGTTTTTTAGTTGTAGATGGACACAATATCTATATTTTATTTGTTTATTTTTATGTGGTGCTGGGGATCAAACCCAGTGCCTCACACATGCTAGGCAAGAGCTCTACCACTACCACTAAGCCACAACCCCAGCCCTTCATTGTGGTTTTGACTTGCATTTTTCTAGTGATTAGTGATGCTAAACATCTTTTCATGTGCTCTTTATTTATTTATTTAGGTACCTAGGATTGAACCCAGGGCCCCTTAACCACTGAGCTACACCCCCAGCCTTTTTTTTTTTTAATTTTTTAACTTGAGACAGGGTCTTGCAAGTTGCTTGGGGCCTCATTAAATTGCTGAGGCTGGCTTTGAACTCGCAACCCTCCTGCTTTATCCTCCTGAGCTGCTGGGATTACAGGCATGTGCCACCATGCCTGGCTCTTGATTTCTTTTAGATTTATTATTATTCCATTTGGCTTTCTCTACTAGTTTAGATGTTAAACATCCTGATTCTGTTCATTTAGTGATTATTCTAGATATTAGAAGAATCCTGGGTCTTGGCGAGTACCAAATTAGCTATGTCATCTACCAGGTGTGATGTCTACAGAGATTAAAATCTATTCTCCAATAGTTACAGAGCAAGCACTAAATATAAGTAAGACCTTGGGCTGCCTTTTCTGAGACTACAAATGAGTTAATTACATGTTCTTTACTATCTAGTAACAGAGATAAATGAATCATTTATTCTAACATTGTGCATAGTTTATATGCCAGTGCTGGACACATACACAAATCACTATAATGTCAGATAGGCTGTGGTAAGCAAAAGAAAGAGCCATGATAAAGTGATATTAGGGTGTCAGGGAAAAATATTACAAATGGTTGAGTGGATCAGGAGAGTCAGGAAAGGAAAGAAATGATGTGGTTAAGTAGGACATGAATTAACTTGACACTATTTTTTTTTGGGGGGGGTTATAGGTTATATTTGAAGAACTTGAAACTAAATTGATGGTCTGTCCATATTCCTTCTTCCTAAGCAGAAACCTTTAAGTTCAACTCTTGTTCTTTTTTCTCTTCTTTACACATCCTTCTGATATACATGGGGGAGTCTGCCCTCTAAATTTTAGTTTTTGATACTACAAAAAAATAGAATATAGTCTTGGGGATCAGCCAGAGTTCTGCCATCTACTGCTACAAGATCTTGTGCAAGTAACTCTCAGTTATTTTTTAATGTGATCTTGAGCACTCCACCATAGTAGAAACAGAGCATACATAGTGCCAGTCTCTCAAGAATGTCCTAAACCTGGGCACAGTGGTGCACACCTATAATCCAAACAGCTCAAGGGGCTGAGGAAGAAGGATCTCAAGTTCGAGGCCAGCCCCAACAACTTATAGAAGCCATAAACAA